CAAGATGAATATGGATTAAGCCTATTTAAAAAAAAAAAAAAAAAAAAAAAAAAAGGCTTCTTTTTCTATTTTGAGACACATTTTCTTTAAAAACACCTCCCCACACACACATACTAGTTAACTGAAGTCTCTTTGTATTCAGCATTCAGCCTTTGTTACTCAGCAGTCCCCAGCCCCTCCACCGGGATGCCTCAGCTCAGCTCTAACGTGTTATTTACATTCACACCACTCCCACTCTCCAGAGCAGCCCTAATATTCCTCACTTTCCCAAACACAAACTGACAAACGGGCAGATTAAGATACCCAGGCTGTGCAAGTCTTACACTGGCACCATAGCTCTTACTGAGAACACAGCCCAGCATCTTTTACAGCAAGGACTTCATGCGGGTGAAGAAAAGTTCTGAACGAACTATAAATCAGATCCCTAAGTTGTGCAGAAGCATTTAGCCCAGCCTTCTAGGGAACTTTATTTCTTGTGGTGTTAAGAATGAATACGAACGTTTCATGTTTCTGCTTTTTAGCCTTCAAACACATCAGCTTTTACATAAAAGAAAAACCGCCCTGAAGTACATGTTGCCCAGGAAGGGTAACAGCAGCCACTTAATTCTTAAGCTTAAGTTAAAATACTGCTGGGTGTTTGTACCCATGTGCAAGTCAGAGCACTGCCAAAAAGGCCAATAACAGCACAAAGCTGGAACAAGGTAAAATTCAGATACTGTAGTCACGACCATAACGAAATTTCATCCAATCATGAGGGACTTCTGGCAGGTATTGCTCCAGGCAACTCTTCAATTCTTTTCTCACAGCAGACAGAACAGCATCCAGTAGTTCCAGCTGCACAGCGAGTGTCGCTCACTGTTTAACTTACGAGCAGCAGTGGTGGCTGAGGCACAGCAGGCATCTATCGGCACCCTGCACACACACCAGCTGCTCCATCTGCAGGGCTGGATTCCAGAGCTGCAGTGACAGGAAGCCTACGATACCCAGCTCTGCTATCAGCCTGCATCTGTCCCCACACAGGCCCACAGCCTTCCTGAGTTCATTCAGATCCTCAGCCACGTGCTGGCTGGTGTTAGCATCAAAGAACCAAAAGAAATCCCCACCAAGCACGGTGCACATGCTTACAGATCCACTTTGGGACACGTTATTTCTAGTGCTTTATCATCAGGAAGTCATATATAGACATACACTATAACTGTATACACATCAGTATAAAGTGCAGAAAAACTACACTGAAAACATCCAGTATGGTAAAACTCCATTCCTGTAGAAGCAGGTTAGTTTAGTTGGCTGGGACAGCACCATCTGAATGCCCAACAGTTATGTTCTTCCTGCTTAGGCTGTAAGCCTGCTCCATTAACTAATTAGCTCACAGAGGTTAGCAGTGTATTAAAGCTGTCTGGTTCTCAGAGCAAGTGGTTCATGTTGCTAACCAGCACAGGAATTTGAGCTTCAATTACTCCTGCAGACAGTCAGAAGAGTAGCCACACTTGAGCATTTTGAACAAGAAATTAAAGACAGTATTATCTGACTTCATGAGAACAGCAGGAGGAGGGAAGAGCAACTTGGGCAGAGATAATAAAACGCCCCTCTATCGGGTTCTGGGGTTACCCCAGCTGTGGCCTCTTGCTCAGGGTGTGTTTTACAGAACAGACCACTACTGCAGAGGGTGATACTGTAATGTGTGGAGTTATACCCAAGGATAAATATGAGGTAAGCAGTTACACTTGGATTCACATTGACCTTGATCTACAGAGCTATATAAAAACTATTTCTGTGACAAGCATGTCAACATTTCTGTGACAAATTTATGTGATGTGGGGACAGAGAGAGGAAGACGAGCAAGGAACAGAAAGCGCATGCAGCCAAGTTCCTGGAACACAGCAAAGCACTTTACAATAAAGATGACCGATCAAAAATTCAATCCCTGAAGGCTGTGAAATGCCATACACTTTTAGAATGCATTTACAGTGGGATTTCAGTTCAGTGTTATGGAAATGGAAAGCCCCCATGGCTCTACATCTATGCCACAGCAGACAGCTGACACCACAACTAGCACTAAAGACAAAGAGCAACTTCTGTAGAACAGCCGAGGACAAGATAAGTGCTCCATTAACATTTTAGTCTGTTTCCAGTGAGAGGGGGGCATAATTCTTAGATCTGTTTCTAGATACAAAAAATTGAAGTTCTCCTAAAATTCTAAACCTGTGAATTTCTTTTAGAGAAAAAACATATTTGCACTTCAAAAGGAGCAACCCTACAGCACGTCTGCTTCTCGAGATAAGAGGCAGCACTAAGATAACACTAACAGAAGAAAAGTAGCTTTTCCCTCTTGCATTTATGCAGCTCCTAAAGCATGACCCAGATACTTCTGCTAGAGGGAATACAGAACAAACAGAAGTATAAATATCAATATTTAAACTTCAAACGACAAGAGCAGATTCTGGAATCCACAAACACATACCAGAACTCACTCTCGTAACTTTTTCTTCCTCAGGTACAAAATTCTCAGTACAAAGGGTCACATCAAGTGGAAATTAATTTGTAAGTGTTAGACAGAACCACCTCAGTCATTGCATGTTATGTCACTTGCTGAAGTGAAAAGTTCAAAACCATACATAATGGAGGTTATAGCTTAATTTCATCTGTAGCCTAAGGCCTCACAAGGAGGATTACAAACTTCAGTTCTGCACCTCAGCTTTATTATCCAGACCTTCCAGTGTGATGTGTGCTTCTATACAAGTGGTTTCATAAATAGCACACATTGACACCTGTACAGTACATCAGTAGTTCGGGTTCCTTGTTATCAGAAGTGACCACAGACCACCAGCACTCCTCACCTTTTACAAAGGTGCAATAGGAGGCAACTGTCAGATGCAGACATTTAGCGTACAACTCATCCAACACCATCACATCCATTCCTCGTTGGCATGGTTCACATTTAAGGCTCTTACATACAGGAAAGCTCGTGATGCTCACTGCTAACTGCCAACAGCCCATAAAAACAGGCTCATGGAGCACTGCACTAAGGATGGTCACTACTGGTAACAAGTACTGCACACAGCGTTTGGTGCCTCTCACAACAAAGCCAAAGCACTCCAACGTTCTTTAAGGCTCCCAAATGAAACCACCCTCATTCCTGGGCAGCCCTAATGAGACTGGGCCAAAGGGCAAAAAGGTTGGAAGAATCAGTTCTCACCAGGGCAAGCAGAGGCAAACATGGGTAAGGCATGCTCCTCCTGGCTCCTCCGTTGATACCGCTGCACAAACTCCCTCTGGCTCTCCAGGATACTGAAATCAGCAGCTATAGTGGTGTCAAATACATAATGCACCCCTAGGAAACAAAGCAGTAAGGAAAAGCGAATTACTAGAATGTCTTCCATCTGCCAGGTGTCCTTCCAAGTTGCAAGTCAATCAGAAGAACTTTGGAACATCCCTGGGCATACTGCCCACCCTCTACAGAATTTTCATGGTTAGTGCAGTCAAAAATAACAGCTGTACACTGGAAAGCCAATCTTCTATGTCACAAACCAAAAAGCTCCACCAACTTGCTATCGCTGACTAGAAATACTTCAAATACCTGTTTGCTTCCTTATGGAAATCTCCCCATTCAGCACATATATTTACTCTGTTTTGTTCACTTGGATGAAATCTCAAGACCACAGGGCTGTATGCAGCGACTCCATCAATGAGCATCCTTCACAAAATATGCTGAAGTGATTTATTATCCAAATATATTTATGTATATCTTGCTGTACATGTATATGGCAAAGGTATATGAACACAGCATCAACACTGAGACCTTCCATCTGTCTGTTCAGCAGTGCACTCCCTACACACCTATGTAATACTGAGCACATCCCCACAGCAAGCCAGGCAACAATAATTAATGTATGCTAAGAAAACTGGGGCCCACCAGAACTCAGCTTTCTTTCTGGATGTAGAGAAAAATATACTGGGTACAGAAATGCATAGAAACAACAGCAACAAAAATTGTAAGAAGTTTTAATTGTATTAAAAAACCCTCATGCATTATAACTATAATTTTACCTAGTTTTTCAAATTAAACTTTGTGTACATAATATAAAGACTAAGGAAATACAGCTTTAACATAAAACAAGCAAACAGTTGTGGGTCATTTCAAAAGGTAGAAAAATAACCAGAACTGAGAATCTTCCAGCAGTTCACACCAAAGGACTGGGAGGCATTTGGATAAGAATTCCCCTCTTCCTCAGTTAAAACAAGGAGGAAATCTTACTCAAGTCCATGACCAAATTCTCCCCGATTTCTTGGTAGTGAACACAGATGGATCTACAACCCCCTTCTGTTCTGTGACCTTTCCTGTCAGCACTGCAGTGCTTCAAATCTGTTCCTAAAACCAAAGTGTGTCATACTGGTGTGCTGTCCTTAGTATCACAGAGTAGGCATTTCAAACTCAACTCTGAACTACATTGTGCAATGGCTTTATGACTGCACAACAAGCAGTTCTGCTGAGAAAGCAAGAGCCCCAAATAATCTTCCCTTTAAGCTCCATCACTGCAACAAAACCAGACTTACCGAGACTTTTGAGGAAACCACAGAGTCTCTTGGCTGCATCATTCACAGAGAGACTGAATTTAGCAGCAAAATAAGGCAATGACTGAGGGCATATAGACACTGCCAACACTTTGTGTTTTGAGGTATCACACTTCTGGTAAACAAAACAAAGCAAAAGAAACAAGTTTAGTAAGTACATCAGGGTAAGGCTCCCTGCTTTCCCTCTTTCCACTCTTGGAGCTCCTCACTGTTCTACTCGCACTCCTCACCACACTTCAGCGAGCCTCAGCAATAAAATCACCATAGAATCACAGAATCACAAGGTTGGGAGGACCTACAAGATCATCCAGTCCAGCCATAAGCACTGATACAACAAATCTTGTTTCTCGAGGGCAGCGCAGGATGCGCTTCTGATCTTGTCAGTGCTTATCTCTAACATCTATAGATGTTGCTTCTGTATGACTCAGGGAAATCCATCTGTCCTAGGACTGTTCTGTGGTTGGTGCCCTAATGGCACGAGGAAATTTAAGAGACATTCAGCACCTATGAAGTTTTGATTCCTAGCAGAAGCTTCTATTGCCAAATAAGAAAAAAAGCAGCATGTTCATATATTAAAATAAAGGAACTCCTGTTTCCAGAGCACAGGCATTTGAAGTTACAAATTTAAACCAGCGAACTACAAATCCTATTTGTTAAGGCTCTCTGTCACTGCAGAAGCTAAGAGAAGCTGCAGAAGCTAAGAGAAGCCAACAGGACCCTTAAACCAGAATTTGTGAACGAAAGAACACTCTTCGAATACCAAAGGTGGTGTGCATTGTAAAGCTCTGATGACAGAACTTTAAAGATGAACCTCGGGGTTTAGGTGCGATGTTGTCCACACCAGTGGAACATTTGAAAGAGAAACCAGGACTATGCTACAAACAAATCTTGATCTAAACAGGTTAGAGACCACAGCTTGTACTTTGACATCTTAAATGCTGTATAATGGCCCCACAAGCAGAGCTCATTATCCTCTGCAAAGCACCTCCCTCGTTCCCTACCTTCATCAGGACCTGTGACATTCTGATCAAGGTACCCATGTGCTTCCCAAGTGTGGACTTCAGGTTCTCTTAAGTGAGCCCTACGTGAGCCATATGTTTTTTTAACCCCATTTTCTTCTCTTTCATGTACAATATCATGTTGTACTGAGTGTTAAACTAGTTCTAATAAAACTGAATCACTATGTAATTAATACTATTATTTACAACACCAAACATATCAGTTAAGCCACAGAGAACACAGACCTTAGCAGAAAACAGCATCAGAACACATCTACCTGTTTCACTAAGAATTGTTATCAGTAATTTCTGTAGGCAGCTTGAATACATACTGAAAACAATTCTACTTCCAAAAACTAGGCTCAGTAACTTTGTATTATGTCAACACATTGGCACCAAAAACTTCCCAGTAAAACAGCCCTAGTAAAGCCCTAATCTGAATATTTATAAACAACGAAGCTCAGGCTGATTAATTACTTGAGTAATGAAGAAATTATCTTTTCCAGAAGTCTTACTATTGCAAATGCAATAACTTTCCTTCAGCATTCAGGGTCAGTGCTGTAATTCTGCTTCTCAAATGCAAAAGTATTTTAAGCACTTCTGTTCATCTTGCACTACATTTTCACTTCCCCTTTGGGCAAAATATATCCTGACAAATCTTCACATTATCTGCCCTGGGAAATTAAGTTGCTTAGTCATGCCGCAATCTCCTGCTCACAGAAAGCAGTGTGTTATTGGTAGTGCCACTTCACCTTATTAAGGTTGAGTATGCGAAAGAACTCCTTCTGATTCTGTTGGAAAACTCTGGCTCCTTCTTCTGATGTCATGCAATTGTCACACGCTAGGCAGTCGCTAAGGAGTATTTTAGCATTAGCCAATGTAAAAAACTCATTTTTCTGAAAGAAAAATATAAACATACAAATATTTAATAACAATCAAGTGATTTTCAACATCTGCACAGTGACCCAGCTGAAGCACAAATACACTGGTTTGTTTAAAACAAGACAACCTACAACATTTGTATAACACCCAAGATCGTAGGGAAACAATCACAATAACTTGATCAATTCTTCTTCCGCTATTATTACTGTGAAACTGCAAAGCATTCAAGTGCGAACTCATAGATCTGAGTTTAGTGAAAGTCTGTGATCCAGTAACTTGATTTGCTTTGGATTTCAGCACTCAGTCCCCATCCATTTACCAAGTAACTGAGAAAACTTATTTCAACTATTAAGCCTCTTTTAATACCCAGCTAATCAGAAGGCTTTTAACCACTAGGTGCAGCAAACAGAATGCAGTCCTACAGCTGACCATTCACTGTAAAATCAAGAGCACTGTATTTCTGGCTAAAACACCACTGGCAGCGCATCTGTGGGGAAAAGGAACATTTAGATAGAAGTGCAAGATGACCACATTACTTGCAAAAAGACCAAATTCCTTCAATTACGAACCTACTGCCAGGGAAACAGTTACTTAGGAAAGAACAGCACGGGATACTTAAGAAACATTTGTGCACCTGAACTGGCAACATCCCACTTTTGTCCTTCCAACCTCTGTCCCCACCGAAACGATCTGAGGTAAGAGTTTGACATGCAAACAACGGACAAAACCCTTGGCTTTGTTTTGTGTTTACAGACCATCTCTTTCTAAAGACTTCCTGATTCTCCAGAGATACACTGACGCTGTCAGAACTGATTTGCATTACATGAGAACTTGGGAAGTTCTCCATTCGGAGCTTCTTTCCTTTGGGGCAATACGGGGGAACGCGTGGCTGTTTTCAGAAGGTCCATTACCTCCTCAAAGTCATCGTTAGGACTCAGCACATCCACCGACGTACTTTGCGCATCGTCATTTTTCTGTTTTTTACTGCATTCCTGAAACACAACATAAAACACATCACGCGAAATACAGTCACTGCTGAATAACAACGTGCCAGCAGAATTATCTCGACAGTTCCGAACTCATCCGGCTCACGATACAGGCTCTAACGGTGCTACGGGAGCCTTGCAGGTAACGCTTTGTTGCCCCACAACGAAAACAAGCGCTCAGAAATCCACCTGCTCCACCACTTTTCCATTTCTCAGCGTTCCGGGCCGCAGCACACGGGGAACGGCCGCAGAACCGCCCCGCGATGGCTCGGCTCAAAGCAGGGCGCTGCTCCCCGCCGACCTCGGGGCGGCCCAACGCGTCCTCCCCGCCGCGGGACGCCTCGCTCACCTTTTTGGTGCAGTTCTCGCACTTCATTTGCGGTCCCTCCGGGGCGGCTCTCGCTCGGCCTGGCCGCCGGGGCTGCGGGACAGGAGCAGTCAGAGCCGCGCGCCACCCGCCCTTCGTCACCGTTCCCCTGCCTTCTTACCCCGGCCGGGAGGGCCGATCTCCCTCCCGCAGCCAATGCGGCCCCCGGGGCGGGGTGGTCCCACCGCGCCCCTCACGCGTCCGTCCCGCGGCGGGAGAGCGGCGTGCTCCGCCCGCCTCACGGCTCAGCCGGCCCCACCGAGGCGATGGGCGAGCGGACGGGGCCGAGAGCCGCAGAACGGAGCGCCGTACCTGGCCGCGAAGCCTCGCGTTCCCGCCGGGGCACGAAGCCGCCTCAGCGCCGCGCCGCCGGCAGCCTCCCGCTCGCCGCCTCCCCACCCCCCCGCGCGGCGGGGCTCATTGTGGACCTGAGCCTCGTCACGTAGCCACCGCCGCCGCCGCCGCCGTGCGCGTCCCCGGCGCGGGGCGGGCACGGAGCGGAGGGCCCCGGCGCGCGCCCGCCTCACCGCGCCGCGCAGGGCGCTGAGGGAGGAGGGGGTGCCGGGCTGCGCTTCAGCCTCAGAACCGCGGCCGGCCGTCGGTTCGTGTTCCGACGTTGCCTTTCCTCAGCCTTGCGTGAGCTGCAGCTTCCCTCCCTGTTAGAGGCATTGGCTTTGAACCACACCGTTATTGTGATGAGCACAAACGGCACCGCTGCACGGGAACTACAGGCAGTGTCACGCTGTGAGCCCTGCAGACCGCCCAGTACTGCCTTGATGCAGCCGTCTGTGTGAGGCATCGGCGCGCCTTCCTGTTTTGAAATCGCTCATTAACACGAGGTGTTCCGAAGCATCCAACCATTCTAGAGCAATCCCTGGGCAGCTCAAGACTTCAAGATCCCTACTTGGTCACTAGCCACTAAAGTCACTTGGTCACTAGTCACTAAAATGCAACATGTCATTAACATCTTTGTTCCCTCGGGCAGCTGCTGTCCTGCTGAGCAGGCGCTGCACACCGAGTGCAGGGCACGGCAACAAGGCGAGGAACAGCCATGGCACACGTTCACAACCAGCAGCGCACTGAGATCTGCATGTGAGGTCACAGCTGGAATCCTTCCGTTCCACACTCACGGTTATGCTTAATTATCCCACACTGATACAGTGATTCTTCCAAAGACCTGACAGCATGGGACGGTTCCACGATTCTGTGCAGCTCCTATTTAATTGCTGTGTTATTTTCCCTCATATTCCTTTACAATTAGAACACAAACCAGTTAACTACATCAACATTTTTGCAGGAATACTGAAAAATCAAAAAGCATTTTAAGCATTCCTCTGCCTGTGGAGTAAATGGATGCAATTACAGAATCACAGAATCACCGAGGTTGGAAAAGACCTTCAAGATCATCCAGTCCAGCCATCCACCTATCACCAATCGTTCTCACTAAGCCATCTCCCTCAACACAAAATCCAAACGTTCCTTGAACACCTCCAGGGTGACTCCACCACCTCCCTGGGCAGCCCATTCCAGTGCCTGACCACTCTTTCAGTTTCAACTTAAGAATTCGAGCAATAAAAAAAGAACAAAAACTCATGCAAACCAGACAGCAAGCAAAGAATCAATGTTTGGTTGCATGGTATAAGATTATACTTGCGTCATTAGGAGATAATTAGGTTGCCAAGGGGCAATTTCTGCTTTCCATCCACTGTTTATACCATTTTCCCATAGGCAGCAGATGAGCACAGTGTCTCATTGTGAAAGCACTGCCCTGCTGCAGCCTGCTCTGGACAGCAGCACTCAGTTGCTCTGCATGGCTGCAAGGCTATGTCCAAAGGAATTCACCATGGCAAAGCTTTTCCACGCCAAAGGGAGGCAGTGCTTAAGAGCATCACTTGCTTTTTTGGCCTCTCTCCCTGTGGTTGAAACCTGTTGCTGTATTTGACATTTACACCCGCACCACTAGCAACAATGATAGAGAAAAACAAAGTGTTTCTCTATGAAAACAGTGCATTGCAGCCAACTTCAGCAAACTTTAAAGGTTATGCATCAGCACTGCAAGGCATCGCAAGCTGGAAGTGCCTCAAGCCAGTATCAACATCTGCTGCTCAACAGCTATCAGAATTAGGCAAAAGAAAATTACAAGTAATCAATTACATATCTCTGGATGGTTCTTCTAACAAATTACCTCCCTCAAAGTACTGCAGTGAAATTCCTAGATGATTGCACAAAAAATGTCATAAGAATCATTAAGCAGTAGCAGTAACTTGCAAAAATCCATTCTATATTCCAGTCTGAATAAATGCTTGAGCATATGTGTGGTGTTTCCCATATTTAAATAATTTCTAACTTAATCAACTCTTATCAGGTTATCTTGTTACTGGAGAAACATACAGGTGTTAATATTTTGTCAGATAGTAATACAGGAATAAATCAGACCCTCACGGTTGCTGTATGGTTTATACTGACTGGAGGGGACAGGTGAATTTCTTATTTATTACATTCTACCCTAGAGAAATCTTTTGTATATTACCACTAAAAGCAGTTTCCAGAGACCTGTGCTTATAGATTTTTTTTAAATAGAGCTTTGAGGAAGTCAGCTGCTCAGTTGGGCTGACACCAGACACTCATGACTTATTATTCATCCAAATCCAGCAGCCGGTACCTCATGAGTCCCAAGCACACCAGTTCAAGCTTGCAGTTCCTTGCAGTCCTTCCCCATTCATACAATTGTTGTTACACAACACAGACAGCAGATAAGTTCGTATTTTCTATCACTTGCAATTAGTTAGCTGATTTTTCCCCCAGGTTCAAACAGTTCACTCTGGACTGTCTAATCTAAACTTAAACCTAAAGGACTCTGGACCGTGTAACTTAAATCTAAAACTAATTGCTGTCAAATCAGAAACTCAGTTACCACTTACCCACAGTGATGTTTAGGAACAGCTGCACAAACTTTAATCACATTATGGCCTTAAGCAAACTCTCTGGAGTATCTGGATTTGTATTAGGAAGAAGGCCCAAAATTGAGAATGTTATTCGGGAAGAACCACATTCCTGTGCAAATATCAAGTATCCTTCCACCTAATTGTTCTAATAGATAAAAGGATGTGTTGATTTATATAAAGGGAATTTAAGAAGTCAAGCTTAGCTACTGGTTCCTACATTTTACCATTTTCGTCCCAAAACTGACATGAGCAGATACTGGATTTAACAAGAATAAATTTTGCATGTGAATGATGTTCAACTGAACCTGAAACACAAAGATACACCTTCAGGTGACATATGATTAATGAAAATTCACAGCTTCATGTTAAGCCTGTAAATGCAACATTTATTTGTGCTTTATATTCCCTACTGCACTGGGTGGATTCAAGGTCTCAGCTACTGGGTCTTCTGTGTGCAGCTGTCTTGAAATAACATTGTGACACTGAGAGAACCCCCCCCCCTAGTAACCTCACCAATGTACAACATGCACAGAAGAGCAAGTAGTGGCAACAGCCCAGCACAAACACTGCATGGCAGTCAGTGCCCCAAGTGCCAAGTATGCACCTGCTGCCATTGAGAGCCCTAGCATCCATTGGCCTCCATGGGTCACCAGTGCTGCCAAGACCAGGGGCAGCTGGAGGCTCTCTGGGTGGACAGATTCCAACCAAAGAAAGACATGGAGATGCTGGAGTGGGTCCAGAAGGACGGCCATGAAGATGCTCAGAGGACTGGAGCACCTCTCCTTTGAAGAAAGGCTGAGGGAGCCAGGGGTGTTCAGCCTGGAGAAGAGAAGGCTGCTGGGAGACCTCACTGCAGTCTTCCAGTACATGAAGAGAGCTTATAAACAGAAGAGGAAGCAAATTCTTACATGGCTGGATAGCATTAAGACAAGGAGGAATGGCTTTGAACTAAAAGAGGAGAGATTTAGGTTAGGTGTTAAGAAGACATTCTTCACTCAGAGGGCGGTGAGGCTCCAGCACTGTGCAGAGCTGTGGTGCTCCATCCCTGGAAGTGCCTGAGCACATGGATGGGCTGCGGGGAGCCTCAGTGTGGGCACAGCAGGGTGGGGCTGGGGGGCTGTAAGGTCCCTTCCAACCCAACCATTCCATCACTCCAGGATTCTGTTGGCTTGCCCTGCCATCCCCTCAGCCCCAGCCTAAACACACCTCACCCAAAGCAGGACCGGCAAACCAGCACCAAGTGCACCCACTAGAGCTCTCCCACCCCGTACGCCTAGCCCAACAGCACACAGCTCCCCATTCTGCCAACACAAGCTTCTCTACTCCTTTCTATACGCTTTAAGCCACACAGACTTGGAAAACGATGACTTTTAGACAGCACAACGCCCAGGCTCCGCCACCATCTTGAACGCGGGCGCCGCGCCGCCATCTTGGATGAGGCTCTTCCTCTCCCAGTTACAAAGCCCGAGCGGTCCCGGTTAGCTCAGTGCTGTGGTTGCCCACACTAAATATGGTGTTCGGCGCGCCCCGTCCTTAGGGCGAGTGAGGCAATCGGCGGGGAGCGGCGGCAGCAGCGGGCACCTCTCGGAGCGCGCAGGTAGGGCTGCGGGGCGGGATGAGGCGCAGTCCCCGCTGGGTTGGCTGCCCCGTGCTGCTCTGCGTCAGGCGGACCGGGGCGGGCGGGCGGCGGCTGCTGAGGCGCTCCCTGCATCCCGTGGGAATTCCCACGGGATGCAGGG